CTTGTCCTAGAGTCATGCAGCACAGAAACAGACCTTTCAGTCCAACAAGTTGATGCCGACCATAATCCCAAACTAAATTAGCCCCATCTGCCTGCGCTTGGCCCATATCCCTCCAAACCTTTCCCCATTCATGTACTTACACATTGTAACTGTACCTATATCCACCATTTCCTCTCGAAGTTCATTCCACACGCGAATCACCCGTGTAAAAAATTTGTTCCTCATGTCTTTTTTAAACTTCTCTCCTCCCTAGTCCTGAAAACCCTCATCCTAGGAAAAACACAACTACCATTAACTCTGTTGATACTCATGATTTTACAAACCTCTATGAGGTCACTTCTTAACGTATGATCCAGTGAAAAAAGTCCAAGCCTATCCAGCCTTTCTTTATAACTCAAACCTTCCATACCCACTGACATCTGGTAAATCTCTTTTGATCCCTCTCTAGTTTAATAATATCCTTCCTATAACAGGGTGACCAGAACTGGGCACAGTGCTCCAGAACAGGCCTCACCAATGTCCTGTACAACCTCAACTTGACTTCCTGACTCCTACACTCAAAGGACACCTCGATTCCACTTCCTCTGACTCCTTGCACAGGTTCCCAAATCCCAGCTAATATAATCACTTTTGCAAATACTTCCCAGGGCATCAGTCCCAGTCCTGGGGCAACCTGCCTGGTTTGTACAATCCCACCTTGCCTAGAACTTGTTCCAATGCCCAGGAATCTTAAACCATCCCTCTCACACCATCTCTTTAGCCACGTGTTCACCTGATGTATCCTGCTATTTCCACTCTGATTAGCATGTGGCACTGGTAGTAATCCGGAGATCACTACCTTTGAGATCCTACATTTCAGCTTGCTTCCTGACTCCTTATAACCTGTTTTTAGGACTTCATCTTTTTTTTTTTAAAAAACCTACATCATTGCTACTAATGTGTACCACAACCACTGGCTGTTCACTGTCCCACTCCAGTACAGCTGCTCTGAGACATTCATGACCCTAGCACCAGGGAGGCAAGATTCCACCCTGGATTCTTATTTACAGCCACAGGAACTCCTCTCTGTTCTCTTTACACTTGCATCCTCTGTTATTGTTGCAATTCCATACTTTTTGCTCTTCCCCTATGCAGCAGAGAGTCATGAATTTGACCGTTGCTGCTTTCCCCCCTAAGAGGCCATTCCCCTCAACAGTTTCCAAAGTGGTGCATCTGTTTCTCAGGGGAATGGCCACAGGAGATTCCTGCAGTGCCCGCCCATTCCGCTTGCTCTGCGCGGTGGTTACCCATTTCCTTTCTGCCTGTGGAGTTTTAGCCTGCGGGGTGACCACTTCTCGGTATGTCCTATCCCATCATTCTCTCAGCTTCATGGATGGTCCATGGTCACCAATCCAGCTGTGAAACCCAGGCTTCTGAGAGCTGTAGCTGGAGACACTTCCTACACACATGCTGCTCCCAGACACTGGTTTTCCCGCACAGAACAGGAGCACATCAGTACAATCATTAACATGTCAGCCAAATGATCAAAGTTAATAAATACACTACACTGATTTACATACATGTTTCAACAGGTTGATGAAAATTTTATGACAGATATTTGATTTGATTCAATTTATTATTAACATGTATCTAAGTACAGTGAAGAGTTTTGTTTTGCGTACAGTACAAGCAAGTCATATCATACAAACAGCATAGGGTGATAGAAGAGTGAGGAATACAAAGTTACGGCTGCAAAGAAGGTGCACAAAAAGCAAGATCAACATTAGACTTGTATCTTCTGCCTGATGGAAGAGGTTGCAAGAGTTTATAACGGGGTGGGAGTGGTCTTTGATGATATTGGCTACCTTTCCAAGCTATCAAAAGTTGCGACTGTTGGGATTTAAACCTGAGCCCTCTAGCCCAGAGGTAAGGAAACTACCAGTGTGCCACAACAGAAACCGGATAGAACCCAGAGTGCACCATACATTGCTTTCTGATCCAATAATCACTGGATTATATAAAAAAAAAAATAGCCAAGGATGGTTTCAAACCATCAAGCTCTGGGGTTATGGGCCCAGCACACTCCTGCTGCAAAACAGAGTTTGAAACCACATTCTGTACATGTCGTCAATCTGTCAATGGAGGTTATGACAGAGTTTTGGAGCAAGTGGGTCTTGAGCCAGACCTCCTGGCTCAGACGAGGAGACACTACCACTAGACCGCCAAAACAACTGAAAGGCCACACAGATATTCAGGCTCTGAATTGCTTATTTACTAGGCAGCCATTTTACTCCATTTAGCTGTGACACCAGGAACACTGGTCAAATGAGCAACTGAACCAGCAAACCTACTATCCTTAGTATCTCACTGTATCCATCTGAGCTAACCAGCATCCCAGCTAGTCAGTGACTCTGCATAAGAATCTTGAACCCCAACCTGCTCAAACACTGATGTTTTTCCAACATAGTTGGAACTTGACCTTTAGGTTAAGAGGCAGGATACTACCACTGTACCACAACAGTCCCTCTTATGCTGCTCTGTCAAGGTTTTAATCGACCTTTTCAGATCTGTTGTGACACACCCATGCAACCTCTTTTTAATGCCATATTCATAGGAATAAGAGGAATCAAAATATGAAGGGGTGCAATGAGCAGCACAGGACACATCTCCAGCCTCATGTGTATTCCTTCACCTCTCTTGTATATGTCCCTAATACAATTGAATTCGTCAATAATTCTGATCCTCCTGTTATGGACCAGACCAAATGCCCTCAAACTATAGTAAGAAGGCAGCCTAGGACATAACTTTACCTTTAAAATAAGAAAAGGTAAAGATGTGGTGTTCCAGATGCAATTTGATTGGTCAAACTATTTAACGTTAATCAAAACAATTTATTCATACACCATAGTTAAAAGACAACAAAAGAAAGCAAAGAAAAAAACTGGCTTAGCTGTAAATCTATTGGAAAACAACAGAATAATAGATTCAGTAACCTTTACAAACTAGCTGTTCCAAATATAGTAGCATCCCATAAACACACTCTTGGCACGAGGCAAATTCAGAAAACAGATTGTCTCACATGCAGCTCCAACAGCCCAAGAGGAAAAACATCAAGAGAACTTAGTGTATAGCAGGGCGAGATCTACTGCAGCAGACCCAGCAACAACAGCTACTGAGAAAAACTAAGAAACTAAAAATGTTGGTTGTGGGAGCTTGACCACACCCATTCAGGCTGCTTCTACTGTTCCAACATTTAAAAAAAAACCAAGGCCTCGCAAGCTGTTTACTTATTCACTTTCCAAATAGACAGCTCAGCGCCTGGCTTAAAACTTCTCCTTTAAAAAGGAACAGGACAAAATAACCTCTTAAAGCCACAGCATCACTGCAATCCTCTCCATCTCTTTTGAATGTCATAGCCAGCAATTTCTCAAAAAACCTTAGTTTATCTCCATCATCGCTCCAAAACATCTTTTAAATATTTAACTTTGACCATTATTTGTTGCCTTATGTCACTGACCTTCTACTTGAAAGGTTTGATACAACTCAGTCCAAATACCAGTTGCAAAACAATAACGGTTGACAAGTCTGACAAATGTACTTTTAAGTATTTTAAGAATTTGGATTTTGGCCTGTAAAATCGTTTTCTTATCTGAATCTTAATGGCAGCCAAGCCAATTGACAAGTCTTCTTCCCACACTCTCACACACACAATCACAGAATCAAATAAGGGTTACAATGTAGAAGGAGGCCATTCAAACCATCACATCTGCACCGGTTCCCCAAATGAGCATTGACTTTGTATCATGGTCCCCTCTTTTTCACTCCACAAACCCGCACATTATTTCTCTTCAAATAATCATCTAATACCCTCTCGAATGCCTCAATTCAACCTATTTCACCACACAGGCAATGCATTTCAGAGCCGAACCACTTGTTGTGTGGGGACTTTTGAAATTCTGTGTTCAATTCTGGTCTCCCTGCTATAGGAAAGATGTTGTTAAACTTGAAGGGTTCAGAAAAGATTTACAAGGATGTTGCCAAGGTTGGAGGGTTTGAGCTAAAGGGCGAGGCCGAATAGGTTGGGGCTATTTTCTGTGGAGCATTGGAAGCTGAGGGGAGACCTCAGAGGTTTCTAAAATCATTAAGGAGATGGAAAGGGTGAATAGACAAGGTCTTTTCCCCAGGTGGGGGGGGGGGGGGGGGGGAACGGGGGGAGGAATTCCAAAACGAGAGGTTCAAGGTGAGAAGGGAAAGATATAAAAGGGACCTAGGGGACAACATTTTCACACAGAGGGTGGTGTGTGTGTGGAATGAGCTGCCAGAGGAAATGGTGGAGGCTGGTACAATTACAAGATTTAAAAGGCGTCTGGATGGGTACATGAATAGGAAGGGTTCAGAGGGATATGGGCCAAATGATGGCAAATGGGATTAGATTAATTGAAGATATCTGGTTGGCATGGATGAGTTAGACCGAGGGGTCTGTGTCCATGTCCATTCTGTACATCTCTATGATTCTAAGTATTTTGTCATATGACATTTGTTACTTTTGCAAATCTCTTAGAGTCTGTGGCCCCTGGCTCTTAATCATTTTATGAGTGTCAATAGCTTCTCTCGATCCACTCCATCCAGACTACTCGTGATTTTGAAAACCTCTATCAAATCTTCTCTCAGACTTCTTCTCTCCAAGGAGAACAGTCCCAAATTCTTCAATCTATCCCCATAACTGAAGTTTCTCATTCCTGGAACCATTCTGTAAACCTCTCTTTTTCAAGATCAAAAAGGCTCTTTCCCTAAAGCATGTTAATGAATGGTATGTGTTTTTGCAACAATCCAACAGCTTCATGGTTTGTTTTATTTCCAGATTTCTCTTAAAAAGTGAATTCAGATTCCCAGCAGTCTGATGTGAAATTTCTGAATGACTCATGCAGTAATGTAACCACCACATCGCATCTATCCTCAGTTAAATCACAATACAGCATTCACTTCTTGCTACCTAAAATAAGCTTCAGACTATCACTTACCCAATTGTTGGCTGTAGCATCCGTTTACAAGCTGTTTGCAAGAGATCAAGAATCTTGTATGGCTCACTGAAACAGATTAAAACAAAAATTGTGAAACACCGAGTGTCATATTGTGTTTTGTCTTCACCTGCCAGTGCAACAAAAGAGCGGACATGAGCAAAAAGCAAAAAAAAGAAAAAAAAAAAAAAATCACAAAGATCATTTGAGATGCAAATCAAAACTACTGATTGCTTACATGCGAACTCTATGGAGACATGATAGCACAGAAAGAGGCTGTTTTGTCCTGTACAGCCATACTGTTAGTTCCATTTCAAATTCTATCCCCTTGCCTTTGGAGTTTATCTCCCTCAGATGTCCATCTAATTTCTTTCTGAACTCATTGATCTACTCCACTTCTAGCACCCTCGTAGGCACGGAGTTCCAGCTCATTTTTAATGCTTTGAGTGACAAAGATTGTTCTCACATCTCCCCTTGCATCTCTTGCCCAAGACCTTAAATCATTGTCTTTTAGTCGTTGTGCCATCAACTACTGGGAACAGCTATGCAGTTTCACACTTGACTGAAACATAGAAAATAGGAGCAGCAGTAGGCCATTCGGCCCTTTAAACCTACTTTGCTATTCAATGTGATCATGGCTGATCATCCAACTCAATACCATGTTCCCTCTTTCTCCTATATCCTTCAATTCCTTTAAACCCAAGAACTGTATTAACTCCTCTACAAAAGCATTCAAAGCCTTAGCCTCAACCCCTTTCTGTGGTAGAGTATTCACTCTCTGGGTGAAGAAATTTCTCCTCATCTCAGTCCTAAATGGCCTACCACGCATCGTCAGACTGTAACCCCTAGTTCTTGACTCCCCAGTCATTGGGAACATTCTTCCTGCGTGTGCTGCCAGACCTGCTGAGCTTTTCCAGCAACTTGAGTTTGTTCCTGATTTACAGCATCTGCAGTTCTTTCTGCTTGCGTTTTCTCTGGAGCGCTGGAGGCTGAGGGGAAACCTGACAGAAGTTTATGAAATTATGAGAAGCATAGATAGGATTGACAGTCAGAATCTTCTTCCCAGAGTTGAATTCTCTAATACCAGAGGGCATGCATTTAGGGTAAGAAGGAGAAAGTTCAAAGGAGATGTGAGGAGCAAGCTTTTTTTACAGGGAGGTAGGTGCTTAGAACACACTGCCAGGGTGGTAGTGGTGGAAGAGACAGATATGAGAGGGGCGTTTAAGGGGCTTTAGATAAACACATGAATAAGCAAGGAATGGAGGGATGTGGACCATGGGCAGGCAGAAGGAATTATTTTAATTTGGCGTCATGTTCTGCACAACATCTTGGGCCAAAGGGCCTGTTCCTGTGTTGTACTGTTCTATGTACCTGTCTAGCCCTGCTATAAGTTTCTATAAAGACCCCCCCCCCCCCCCATTCTTTTAAACTCCAGTGAATACAGTCCTAACCAATCCAGTGCCTTTTTTTAACATCAGTCCTGCCATCCCAGGAATCAGTATAGTAAATCTTTGTTAAGGATTGTTGATCTAAAGTTTAATCTTCCTATTTTAATATCACATTACTACAACACAAAACAAGCAAGAATTAGAGCAGATGTTGAGCTCCATTGAACAAGAATTAAATCAAAACAATCTTCCAAGAGATGTTAGTAGAATTTAACGAGTTTTAATAGTGACTTCAGTTAGCTGGGACTGAGCTGGACAAGCCTTGGAGTCAAGAAAGAATAACTACATCATCTAGGAGAGGGCTTTTCTGGGGCGGGGGTGGAGTGAGTGATGAATTCTGTTTGTTACATTTTGTGCAGTTATGGCTTATACTTCTTTAATGCACTGTACTGAACACCTACAAGTTCCGATAAATGGGTCTTTACACTTCATGAGCTGACATGCAACTCTATAAGCACTACAGCTGGGAATTTCCAATCAGTGTTAAATCCAAGATAATATCAGCCCATGTTGAAGTTCTTAACTGGTGTAGAGGCAACAGGACGGTCACTGTCTCATATTAAGCTGCTGAGTGCTCTTCGGGATAAGGTTTTCTCATGGGCATGTCAGTCTTTGCCCTCTTTTTCCTCTAGCATAGGTGAGGACCTCTAAAATTAACATTCTATTCCCTTTGTAATCAATCAATCTTAACACACATTGCTAAACGACAGTGTTTGACAAGTCTGATAAGCTTACCGTTAAACTGTTTCAAGTATACCACTTTTGGCCTGTTGGTCATCATATTTCATTTACTTTAGAATCATAGGATCATATAGTACAGAAGAGGCCCTTTGGCCCATCAAGTGTGTACCATTGTATTTACTGCCATGACACCTTTTTGGAGTTCTGCACAAAACCCCAAACTCATGGACAAGTCTTCAGTTCCTATCAACCAAAGTTTCATTATATTGTAAAGTGTTGTTGCGTACAATAATTTATGTCATTAGGTTGATTCAAATGCTCTCGTGTCGCACTTTAACATCAGTGATAGACCAAACATATCAATGTGAGAGCTTGCCTTCACTATAGGTACTGAGTTTCAAATAACTTACACAGGGCAATGTCATCTTCAGCTTCCTGCAAATACAATCATTGTCAAAGATTTAATCTGACTGTGGAATTTACAAGCACAAAACTATTAAAGATGCAGCACATGGGCATTTTGGATCAAAGTGTGTAGAAGGTAAAGTTTCACATGACAGGGTGACCACACAATTACAAATTGGTTTCCACTCCAACGTTGCAACTAGAAGAGGTGAAGAATGAGGAAGAGGCTGATCGCTTGATCAGCACACCACAGTCTGGCAATTAAAAAGTAATTGGCTGCTGTCTTATTGAAACCACTAGATTTTCAATTGTGGACAAACCCTGGCAGTTTTAGTGTAAGAGTCAGAGGTTTGCAGCATAGAAACAGGTCCTTCGCATCAACTTGCCCATGCTGCCCAGTTTTCGCGATTAGTCTAGTCCCAGTTCCTGTGTTTGGTCCATATCCTTCCATACCTCTCCCATCCATGTACCTGTCCAAATGTTTCTTAAATGACAAAACTGTACTCACCTCCTCCACTACCTCTGACAGCCCATCCCAGACACTCACCACCCTCTCTGTGTGAAGGAAGTGCCCCTCTGAACCCTTTTGTATCTCTGCCCTCTCACCTTACACCTACGCCCCCTCGTTTTAGACTCACCAACTATGGGAAAAAGCTGTTGGCTATCTGTGCCTTTCAAATTTTATGAACCTCTTTTACGTCAACCCTCAGTCCCCTGCGTTCCAGGGAAAAGTCCCAGGCTATCCAGCCTCTCCACATAACTTAAACCTTTCAGTCCAGGTAGCATCCTAGTAAATCTTTTGTGCACGCTCTCATTTAATTATGTCCTTACTGTAGTTGGAAAAAAGTTAAGAAACAGTGTTAAAAACAAGCTAGTTATTGGTCAGTTCCTCATACTGGGCTCCACCCTCCATACTTCATTCATTGACAATCCTTTGACCATCTTTGACCTCTTCTCTCTCAATATCCTGCTTTCCATGGTTCAAGCTCCCACGTGTCAGCTGACAATTCAGCATCCACCACCAGTGTTCCTTTTCTTTTCGCTGTTGCAGTTTATTCAACAATATAGTAACTTTTTTTTTAAAAAAAAAATCAATTGTAGCAGTCTATACAGTGATCCAAAGTTCATATTTATAACAATTATCAATAAATTGCATAATTTACATGTTTCTGGATAGTTTTTTCGATTTACAGTCTGCTTTTTTTTCCAGGTTTTACACAGATGTCTAAAAGAGGAAGAACCAAGGGATGTGTTTGACAAAATCAACCAGAGTCTCTTTAAAGGATCTTGCAAAAGCTGAACCCGAAAAAGAAAGGGTAAAATGTTCACCGTTAATTTGGAAAACCCTACAACACTGCACATCCACAGGATGTTTCAGCAGCTGCCAATCGGTGCAATAATCTCTCATTCTTCCTGTTCAAATTATTAATACTTCAAAATTTCTACTCAAACTCTTGTAGTGAAGTGAAAAAAAAAATTAAGGGAAAATGGGGATACATGAGGACATAGCATAATCCTTTGCTATGAAAAAACAGATGTACATTGCGGCACAGGCTGTCTTTTTCTCTTCTGTGAAATGCTTTCCATTAATCAAAAAACGCTGACAAGATTCTTTGAAGTGAGAAAATAAAAATATGAATCCAACTCTCCCACAGACGGAAACAGACCCTTTGGTCCAACATGTCCACACTGACCAGAGATCCCAATCTGAACTAGTCCCATTTGCCAGCAATTGACCCAAATCCCCCTCAACCCTGCCTATTCATATACCCATAAGATATAGGAGCAAAAATTAGACCATTCAGCCCAACAAGTCTGCTCTGCTGTTCAATCATGGCTGATAAGTTTCTCAACCCCATTCTCCCTGTAACCCTTGATCCCTTTGACAATCAAGAACCTATCTATCTCAGTCTTAAATGTACTCAATGACCTGGCCTCCACAGCCTTCTGTAACAGTGAATTCCATAGTTTCACCACTCTCTGGTTGAAGACATTTCTCCTTATCTCTATTCTAAAAAGGTCTTGCCTTTACTCTAAGGCTGTGCCCTCGGGTCCTAGTCTCTCCTATCAACGGAAACATCTTCCCAACGTCCTCCCTGTCCAGGCCATTCAGTATTCTGTAAGTTTCAATTAGATCCCCCCATCATCCTTCTAAATTGAGTATAGACCCAGAGTCCTCAAATGTTCCTCATATGTTAAACTTTTCGTTCCTGGGACCATTCTTGTGAACCTCCTCTGAACTTGCTCCAGGGCCAGTACATCTTTCCTGAGATATGGGGCCAAAACAGTGCACAATACTCTAAATGTGGCCTGCTCATGTACCCATCCAAATGCCTTTTAAATGTTGTAATTGTACTCACCTCCACCACTTCCTCTGGCAGTTCATTCCATACATGCACTACCCTCTGCGTGAAAACGTTACTCATGTCCTTTTTAAATCTTTTCCCTTTCATCTTAAGCCTATGCCCTCAAGTTTTGGACACCCCGCCCCAGCAGAAATGACCTTGGCTATTCACCCTATTCATGCCCCTCATG